TCGAAACGTCAGTCACCAACAGCAGTTCTTTTCAGAACTACCCTCACCCGGAAGATCACACTATACGAACGACTGATACTCCTGGGTTCAAACCATTTACTATGTTACAAAGTACTGCACACTTAAATTGCTGGTGAACTTGAATTTAATTCTTGATTTTACAGTAAAAATCGTGAACATACAGACTCCCTCTCTCCAAATTTTTAATTTGAAGGGGAGGGAGGATACAGGGTACAGTGATGGAGTGAGGAGAAGGCAAACAGGCACACTCTACTTGTCCGGTGGTACTCCATTTGCCATATTTCGTTGCACCTAAGGGGAGAGAATTAAGATCCTAGCACTATGAAGGTCATCGAAGGGGATCATTCGAGCGCCATACCTTTTCTGTATTCAGTTTACATGCAAGTGGTTCTACTTGGCCTTAGCGTTAGGATCTTCCTAGCTGAGAGAAAGCCGGAAAATCCTAGCACCATGTAAACCACCTTCGCTTAGAATTAAGATTTTTAAATAGCATGAGGAACAACAACAAAAATAGCATGGCAGTGTCCGATCGGTCAGCGACTTAGTGTCGACAATTTCATCTTGCTTTTCTTCTCCACGTGCTAACCTCCCGACCGAAATTTCTGCATGTAAACCAAATGCGAAGTTGTTTCGCCTGGTAGGATTTGCTTAGTGCAAGCATACTTGTGTCAAAAAAATCTCATATACACGACCAATTTCAGGCACGTTCAGTGAGCTGAAAAACAGCATGATACACGGAGAAAAAAATATCATATAGTTCCTTGCGGAGGTGTAAAGATAACAGAATTTACCTGAGCAGCAAGATAAAGGATCTGTAGAGCGTCGTCGTAATCTTTGCTGACCACTTGAAACACATTTGGCTTTTGAAATGCTGACTCATCAACTCGTTCAACTGCTAAGATTTTCCTTGTTGGAAGAAACTGCCTTGTCTGAAATAATACGAAAAGGAAAATGAAAAGCCGAGTAACGTATCTTACAAGTTATGTATCAGGTTATGTTCACACTTGGTGCCAAAGCACAGTGCCAAAGTACGATTCTCGCTGGGCAACAATGTGAACACACCTTTTTACGAGTGTTCACACCAGAATTCGGGCACAGTGTTCGTGCTCGGGTACAAGGTCTCGACCATGCAGTTGAGCACTAGATGGTACTTGGGTCTTTGGAG